GCAGAAATGAATTGGCGAACGAACCTCCAAGGTTTTATATTGATTACATAAATACCAATTATTTTGATTTTGAAAACCCTCAAAAGGCATGTAGTTAATGAGTCTTCCCACCCCATAAACGCACCTAAGGGTGTATTGTAATTGTCATAATTATATATATAAATAATTATTTTGTCTTGTGCTGCCCGGCTTTGTAATTATTCCGCAACTGGTGAATTTTTTTCCCCATAATTAACAATATTCAATATTTAACAACTATTTTGTTTCAGATCCATGCAGGGTTTTCAAAGCAAAAGGTTGAAACCAGATTTTCCTCGAGTTCCTCAACGTATGCCATCAACCGGCAGATAACATTTCTCCTATACCCTACAATTTCCATATGTATTTCTCTTCGTTTTTCGGTCTAGCCCAAGTTTTCCTCGTTCGCCATCTAGCCTAAAGCTCACGAACAAATCATCCTACTGATTACAATTGACCACTTACTGTAAAGAGAGCTTGCAAAAGCAATAACTGCTTTTGTAAAGAAGAGCTTGTTATTATAAGGGCTCTCGGCTGGAAGAAAACTATTAAACGGCAAGTAACTTTGGCATAAAGTGGTTGACAAAAGGAAAAAATGCTCGAATGGCGGTTAGGAGAGAAAGGGTTAGGTTAGTTGAGATGCTAAATTTCATTCTGCTATTGGCATCCCTTAGTTTTTTTATTTCTTTTTTTTTTTTCGTTCATAATCAACGAGTCGGGATGCTTTTTTTTTCCTTCGTTTTTCCTTTTCTTTTTTCTTGGTTAAATACGATGTGTGGCAAGCTAATACACGGCGATTTTATGTAATTAATGCCGAGTCTGATTGTGCATGTTTGATCTTTTAGAGTTACTTGTCCCTGACTTTTATTTGTTTGTTGCCTTGTTGGTGATTTTCTGCTGATGAGGAAAGGAACCTGATAAAAATGCTGCCAAAGGTGTGGTATTTCCTTAATGCTTGTGTTGCCAAATTCACAAGCTACTTTGCTAATAATATCTTGATAGGAAAGCATTACTTGTTCTTTTAATATTTGTTACCAGACAAGAAAATATAATTTATCTTAATCATCATGTAAAATTGTACATTAATATTATTAATAGATTGATAAATAAATCTATTCAACTAATAAATTCATTTTCCAATTAAGATTGAAAATAGATACATTTATTTTTATATGCCAGTCTATATATAATTGCTAGCAAGTCATTAAATAAAACTTAATAAATTTTACTTATGTGGCAAATCATTAAATAAAATTTAATAAATTTTACTTATGTGGCATTAATTTATCCTATCCAATTAATGATAAAATATTTCATTACACTTTTTTTTGTTAATTAAAATAAAAATGATTACATTTTATTCTAATTAAGTAATAATTATATTTTTTTTGTTGAATCATATAATAGTTATTATTAAAATTAGTAATTATAGTTTACACTAAATGATATATGAAAGATACATAAACATAAGAGATTATATACAAAAACTTTTGTTCAAGTTATTTGTTTTAAAATCAATATTATTATTTTTACCTGATTAGACGATTGGTTTTTTAATAAACTATTTTTTTTAATATGATAGTAAAATTTCCTCTAAAAAACGAAGCGAAGTGTACGAACATTATTTTTAAGCTAATTAATAGGTCATGATCCCTCAAAATTACAAAAATTACATTATTTATTGCATTCTATGCAATAATTTGTATGCAATTAAATCGCTATGTACTATTTATTTTAACCATTGATCAAATTTTAAAACATAAGACTATTATCTAACTTATAATTTTATTATTATGTGCATAAATATAACTCATAATACTCGACGTTTAAAATATAATACTATTATCTAACTTATAATTTTAATATTCTATGTATACAAATAACTTATAATGTTTATTTATATATCTACAAATGCAAATGGTCGAATACTAGTTAGGATTGATAGATGATTCTACTGTCCAATTGAATTGATGATTAAGAATGATATATAAAATTAATTATATATATATATATATATATATATAATATTATTATCTTTCGTTTTATGTATGCCATATGAATTTCAAATTTAAAATATTAAAACCATCAAGTTTAGTATATTACATATATTAAAAATGGACACTGAAAATTATTATGTTTTAACTAAAATGTCATAACTAGATACATATCTATATATATATAATTGCTGACAAGTTTCATTAAATTTTATTCAGCCAGCAATTAATAATAATAATAGTTCATTTAATAAAAATAGGTGTTCATTTAATAAAAACATGTTCACAATTTAATAAAAATATGTAACTTTCAGTTACAGGATTTATTTGACATGTCTTTTTTTGAATGATGCTCATTTTTATAACGCATTTTTATCTCCTAAAATACAAAATATTTTTGTTTATATTTTAATAATATATATATATATATATTATATAAATACATATTTCACAAGTAATTAAGAATGACTACAAATATTTCTATTTTCTATTGCAGCCATAAAATAATAAAAAATATTTTTCGAATATTATAAAGATATATGAAATATTTTGAAAAATCAAATCCAAGAGATAAAACCCTCTTGCAAAATGGTCCTGCAATATATTTAAAAATTTTAATATCATATAAATAAATATAACTTATAATACTCTAAATTTATAATTTAATACCATTATCTAATTTATTTTATTATTATATACATATAAATAAATTATAATATTTTATTTATACATGTGCATATTCAAAAGATCGAATACTAGTTCTAATTAGTATTAGAAGAATAATCAATCAATAGTATAATATTTAAGTTTGGAAAACTTGCAATAACATATAAGAAAAAAAAAAAATTCAAGTACATATACGAAAATTAGAAATATGCTTTAGCCACCTGCTATTAATTTTTTCAAACGCTAAAAACTAATTTTATTAAATAATTTTTACTTAAAACATTTTTTCATTATCGGACGGTATGGATACATCAATCCAAAGCACGCGCTTGACGTATATATGCGATACATTCATTAGTTTTTACAGAGAAAAAATCAGACAAAAAAGAGAGAGAAATCAGCTGTGTGAAAAATCTGCGAGCTGTTTAGAGAGATGGAATCTTTCGACGCGCCGCCGGGCTCCTTTGACGGCGGAGAGTACACCAGCTACGACGATTCCTACGCCGCCTTCTCCTCCGCCGACACACCGCCGTACTCAGCTCCAGCCTACACTCCGGAGTACGGCGGGGCCGATGAGGTGCCGGTGGACCACGCGGACAGCCCAGATCCGTTCGGATTCGGATCGAACCCTCCCCAGCCGTTCGGGTCAGCCGGCTCGGTTCCGATCTCTAACGGCAACGGAGATTCGCGTTATAACCTCGGGGAGGATTCGGAAGGAATTTTCAGATCCGACGGGCCGATCCTTCCACCTCCGAATGAAATGCACGAGGAAGGATCAGCCCTTCGCGAATGGCGGAGGTGAGATTTCCTTTAGCTGTATTGAGTAGTTTTAGGTCGCGTTTGGCTTTTGGGTTGATTCTTATATGTGTTACAGTTTGATCTGGATTGATATCTCAAAGAGGGAACTGTGATTTGAACATTTATTTTTCCGAGTATCTAGCGCGTAGACGTAAATCACAAGGGGATAAAGAGGAGGATTATTTGGTAAAATATCCTTTATTGAATCAGTTTACTCCTGACCATCTATTTTTAGATTTAGCTTGAATCTGATTATTAAAGATCCCTTTAGGGCAATTATATATTTTTATGTAGTTGAGAGAGTAAAAGTCCGAGATTGTCTTCACCAAGTTGCTCTACTTGCAATTGGAAGTGAAATCATAAATGTCATAGTAAGATTTACAGATATTCTACTCCTGTACTGTGTTTGGTCTTGCTAAGAAGGAAAATTTTGTATGTAATACTATTTTGATCTACTGGATAATGTTTGCTTCCTGCCTAGATTGTGTTCCTTACAGATCCAATTATACATTCTCATTCTGGAAGAAACATTATATTTTAGTTGGCCTCTTTTAGAATGTTACAAACATCAATAAATCCTCCTGCCATTTCACCTCATAGATTACCAAAGCCTAAAACAAACAAGGAACTATGTGTTAGGAGTGCAATTCTTTTGAAAAAATAATAACAAAAAATTTAACAAAAAGTTAACATCCTTTAATTCATCGTCTCAGTTTTTTCTTTCTCCTAAACTTATAATGGACAGCAAAATGAAGATTGTTTTCAGCTGAAAACAATGGAAGTGTGTCAGCAAAACCGAGAATCTTTCTTTCTCGGTTTTGACTTTTATTGCATATGAAAGTGTGTCAGCATTCTTACCAGTTTCTATGTTTATCCCCTTTTTTGGTGGAAGTGAATTGAAGCCCTCTTTTCCTACTTGGGCTTTGTTACATAGATTGTCATTTCAAGAATGTCAAATTGTGATTGAAGTTGGAGTCCTGTATATATCTGTTATGTATGCTTATGTCATATTTATGGTGTGTGTGTTTGTATGGGGAGACACGATGATAAACATCGAGCATCAGATTCGAAAGTGTTAGTGCATAGGTGGTGCTAAGCTAACACAAGCCCTCAGTCATTCACAGTATGATTTAACGACTCCAGTCTGAAAAATATGTTATTGATCCAAACTTTTTCTCATCTGGTTGATTAATCGATATCAGGCAAAATGCCATTCGGCTGGAGGAGAAGGAGAAGAAGGAAAAAGAAATGCGAAACCAGATCATAGAAGAAGGCGAGGAGTTTAAAAAAGCTTTCTACGAGAAACGAAAGCTCAATCTAGAGACCAACAAGACCACCAATCGGGAGAGAGAAAAGGTAAGTTATTTCTTAGTTCTCAATTTGCCTCCATCATTACATAATGCAGGAACCCAACAAAAATCTTTAACACGTTTTAGTACAACCCGACAGCTATTTCTGGCCAGTCAAGAAAAATTCCACAAGGAGGCCGATAAGCAGTACTGGAAAGCCATAGCCGAACTCATCCCAAATGAGGTGGCCAGCATTGAGAAGAGAGGAAAGAAAAAGGACAAGGATAAAAAGCCCTCGATCACGATCGTCCAAGGGCCCAAGCCCGGAAAGCCGACCGACCTTTCGAGGATGCGCGGGATTTTGGTGAAGCTCAAGCACAAGCCCCCGGCCCACATGCTGCCACCACCTCCACCTGCTCCCACCAAGAACGAAAAAGAAGGGGAAAACGCGAAAAATACTAAGGAGAAATCGTCTGGTGCTGGAAAAGAGGGTTCTTCTAATGGTGTAGTTACACTAACGGGAGAGGCGCCAGTTGCCCCGGCTGACGAGAAGCAAGCTAGCTAAATGGGTTTTTGATTGGGTGCTTGTAACAGGATGATTTCTCTTATTTTTCTCTCTGTTTTTTTCTTTTTTTTTTTTTAAA